GGGGGGGGGGGATCCCTCATGAATGGATTAATGCTCTCCCTGGGGGAGTGGGGATTAATGAGTGAGTTCTCACACTATTAGTTCCCGCAAGAGCTGGCTGTTTAACAGACCCTGGCACCTCCCCTCTCTCTCTCTCTTGCTTCCTCTTGCCATGTGATCTGCTTGTACCTGCCAGCTGCCTGCCACTTTCCGCCATGAGTAGAAGCAGCCTGAGGCCTGGGCCAGATGCAGCTGTTCCAAAATCATAAACCAAATAAACCTCTTTTCTTTATAAATCACCCAGTTTCAGGTACTTTGTTACAAGCAACATAAACGGACTAATACCCCTCTTTATGCCTAGCTTTCTGTTATGTACAAGACTGAGTTCATGGGCATCTCATCCCAATATGGGCAAATATTTTCAAATTGAACAGTTTTAGAAGAAATCCTGACAGGGACCTTAAAGGCTCTTCCACCCCCAGCCAACAGTAGCTTTCATTTATGGTTAACCACGGTCACACCCTTACCATTCCCCTTCCCTTTTCTCAAATGTCATTTCTCCAGTGGGTTCTTCCCAGTCTCCAGATTTCAGGCCAAAGGAAACAATATTACCAGATGGCCACCTAGTTGAGAGAGAGCCAGCTTTGATAAGACTGATGTCGGCAAAGATCTTTTATCTCTTGTGCTTGGAAATTTTTTGTCCCACCAGAGAACGGACTTGGTGTCTATTTCCATTCCTGTCCTTACTTCTGTTTCTTTTCAGCCCCATATCTCATACCCCATCTATCCTGGGTCTTCAGCCGGGCATGTTAATGATAAGTTACAGGAGAGCGAGGCATCTTGAGAGAGGCAGGAAATACATTTGAAGAAGTCTTTTTGGTGCCCCTGGAATCAAACTGCATTGTAATGTCCTGACCAGAGAAACCACTTCCCCACTGGCAGGACAGGCAGAAGATCATGCAGCACAAACTCTGTACCAGAATCTTTTCAGTTCACATGCAAGTGGTTAGTCAAACTTGGGCCCTTTTCTTCTCCGCTTAACCATTAAGAGCTCACATATGATCATTTAGGATTTATTTAGCCCAAAGTGTAATGGCAGAAGAACCAGCATGGGGTGGGGGGCGCTTCCCAAGACACGTCAGTCATGTCTGAGCGTCATTTTTGCTGTCAATAAAGTCAGGACAATAGATTTGATCCTAAAGACTCTAGCTGCTCAAATATCCTAAAGATGTAGGGCATGAGCTGGATGGATGGATGCACAGGACCCCTGGGGATGGTCCCCATGAGTGTACAGTGTGGCAAGCTGCTTAACTGGGTGGAGTTTGACTACCAGGTGGATCCTGAACTGGCTCACAGGGAACCCCTCCACCCTTGTCCCCTCCTGGGAAGATGACTGTGGCATATGTCACAGGCTTGTGGCAAATCCGGGCCTTAGGAGGCAGAGGAGGCAATGAGGATGGGGCTGGGGGTGAAGGTTTCCCTGATGGAGGATCAAGAGGTAGGCTGCTATAGGTGGTATTGTCAAAAGAAGGTGGCGAGTCGAGCCTGACATATGGTATGTCCGAAGGCAATTCAGCAGCCAGTCCAGAGTCACTGATATGGCAGACTGCTGAAGAAGGGACCTGTAACAATAGTAGGCAAATCAGGCAAAGAGTGAATGCCTCCCTCTGCCCCAGTTCCCTTGATGGGAACCGCCACTGGATCTATCTCTTGAATCCTGAGTATGTCAGTGGGCAAGAGGTCTTCCCTTTGAAGATTTTCAAGCCCCAAGTTTCTCCCCAAATCTGGGAAGGTGGGATACCAAGGGAAACCATTAGTGCCACATTTACAGCTTTAGGAAGAGGGTTCAGACCCCCATCTGGGTTCCAGTTCTTTCTCCATCCCATCATTTTGGGACCTCCCAGTGAGTGTGATGAATGGAGGGTCTGGGGAATTTGGCTGGGGCCTGCAGAGTCCTCTTACCGTGCCTGAAACTCTGCTGCTCTGGGATTGGCCACAGACACCACGCCTATTTCCTGGCAGGACAGACAACAGCAGCACAGTCTGCTTCCAGGGCTGGCTCAAAGCCTGTCAATTTACCCCCTTCAGAAGTCTCTGAAACCTCTTTCATACTGCAGACTCATCTTCCCTACTCCCACCACCATACCTTTATTCCCTCTGTCTCCCCAGCCCCCACCCCACCCTGCCCTATGTCTCCCCACCCACTTACGGCTTCCACCACGCCCTTAAGCCTGCCTCGAAACAACCTACCTCCTGAAACCCTTTCCCCCACCTCCTCCATCACTTTTCCTCCAACCCCACTGCCCTATTCTTTCCAGTTCCTGATTTCTGCTGTCCTCTCAGTTTCCCCAGGCCTGCTCCCACTGAATCACTGAATCTCCTTCCCTCCCCTCCATCTCTCAGCCATGGGAATTTAGGGTGTGGGAGTCTTGACTAAAGCCCAGACAAGTCCATTTGTAGCAGGAGTGGACATAGACTCTGGGCCCCATCCACATAACTGGTTGATATAGGACAAGTAAGAACAGGCCGGGATAAGTGGATGGACAGCTACCTACCTTTCCTTTTAGCCATCACGGCAAACAGCACCACCGCTGCCACCAGCAGGCCCAGCAGGAGCACAGCACCCCAGATCCAGGGGACACTGAAGGACAGAAAGGGAGAGGCAGGCTTAGCTCTTAACTCTTTGGGGAGCTGTTGGCCAGAAGCCCTGGACCATTGGCTGATGGGTCATATTGTTGATGGAATGGAATGAAGAGGGAAGACTCAGGCAGAGCAGAAGGGAGACACATCACGGTGTCCTGGCCAACGATCCACTAGGGTGAAGGGACCATTGCTGAACTGCGATAGAGAGGTATGTCTGTCTTTCTGTCTGTCTGTCCAGAAGTTCCCTAGGGGTGGAAGGAATCATGTTTCTCCCTTTGATTTGGTCTGGGGCTCTAAAGAAGTCATATCTTCACCACCACCCTTCTCCCAGCCACCTAAATCCAGTTTGTCAGTACCTCTTCTCATCCTGTCTGGGTTCCAAAGGGCTGGCACTGCCCACAGGGTCTGAGGAGGGATCCTCAGACAGACTTCCGACTTTATAGGTCTCTTCTGCCTCCTTCTCCTCTTCCTTTTCCTCCTTGTCCTCTCGCAAGTCAGGAACTGAGTCAGAAGGAAACATTTAATGAGTACATACCCATTGTGTGCAGGCTTCAATGGCATGTTGAGGTCTAAGTTACTGGGGAAGTGAAGCCAAGGAAGGAGAGGTCCCCAGGAAGAAATACAAAGAAGGGGAGGCTGGGAATGTTCCTTAGGGGCCTCTCATTCTGTGGGTCAAGAAATGGCACCTATACTTTGTCTTTGCCTGGTTGTGAATATACCCACTCTCCCCTCTACCACCAGCTCCCACTACCTTTCCCCTGCATTTCTTTTCCTTCACTTGCTTCACCTCTGGTCTTATCAGGCTGCTCAGACTGTACAGCAATACCCACTGGGTAATCTGTGCCCACCTCCTCTTCCCACCCCAGAATAGGTTCTCCAGCTTTCATCCTCAATGGTGACCTTGCTCTCATCGGTCTCAATCGGGGCCTCCCCAAATACTTGCAACCCTGTGACCACCACCTGCAGGCTGGCTGAGCTCCATTCCAAGCTCTGCCCTCAGGATTAAGGAACTTTGGGTCAGCCCTAATGTGATGCAATACCAATGGACCCTTGCTAAGAGCCTTGCTGGCATCCTGAGACTCCATTTTGTGACAAAGCTTCTGTCATCCCTACAGCCTGCTAGACTTATGGCTGTAGGCCTCACAGTTGGCTTCTCTGGGCCTGGAGATCTGCCCTGGGAACCTGGCCAGTTCTTCTAGACTGTCTGGGATGAGAGCCTTGCCTTGTTCTTGAGAGATTTCATCATTCCTACTCCCCACCCCATGCCATAGCAGGAAGGTGCTATGGCCCCAATCTTGCTGCACATGTCCTGCCTTCCTGGTGCCTACTAGGCTGCCTTGGACAAGCCTCTCTGACACTAACTAAATACTTGCTTGAGCTTCAAGCTGCATTCTCTCTGGGTACCAGGCTCCACCTGCCTGCCTGAACATCCATCCTCTACCGCACCAGACCAGAGGCCCAGGTACCTCCCTGCCCCCTCTTCCCGGTGAGTCTTGTCTGGCCACAATTTGCCTTTTACGGAGTCCAAACCTTGTGTAGTAACTCAGAGTGTGTCAAGGAATGAGGAGTGTTGACAAAGGAGGATGAGGATTAACAGGAGAATATTTATAATATAAGACAATAATCATGGACTTGAGATGAGAGTGAGACTTAGTCTGCCCTCTTACTTAGGGGGAAAAACCAAGAGGAAGGAAAAATGCCTTTCTTAATTTTATTATCTGGGGATTGGGCACAAATTACTTGAGAACAGGGAGACCTAAACATGAAAAAATGTCAGTATCCATAAAAGAAAATTAGTAGCAGCCTCTGCTTCAGGTAGCTGACCATTTTCCTTCCAAAACCTTTTTCTTTAGCACATCCTATTTTTCTGAAAAAAATTTAATATTCTAAAACTTTCTTTTAGTAAGTGCTTAGATACTAGAAAGCTGTGGGCTGTGAAAATAAAACCTATAAAAGTAAGGTGTTTTCTATATCGAAAACAGCTTTGAGAATGTCAGCTTAAATATTAATGACACTTTTCCTGTTTTTAAAACCAAATGAGTTGAAGTAGCTCAGCCATTGGATGTACCCTGCCTGTGGGTGAGACATAGTAGACGCTCAGTGAAGATGTAAAATTAAGACACAAATTCAGTAATTTTTAAGCCATCAAGCCCATTATTACAGGAATAAAACACTGGATGCTATAAAAAATTAATTCTAGGTTATATGCCCGAATTCAATTTTGTTTAGAACATTTCTAAGTGAAAAAAAAAAGATAGAAACAAGTATGTAAAAATGCTGGACAACAAGGCCAAGAGGTGGGAAAGGAGGCCATGCCTCCCCGTGGGGAAGCCTGCTTGCGGGGGAGGGGGAGGGGGTGCTTTCCCGCTGATTTATCTCAGACTTCCCAACCAGTTTGGTTTCCGCTCCCTGCAGAACCGTCAAAGAGATATCTCCTCCCAATGCCTCCTCCCCCAGGAACCCCCACCCCTGAAAGACCCAAGAGCACTGGCAACAGGTGGGGCTGGCCTAGGATAACTCACCTGGGGTGATCACTTCCAGTGAGACTCTGTGCAGAGTCTGGGGCCCCCCGGCTCCCTCCACCACACAGCCGTACTCCCCAGCATCCTCCTGCTGCAGGGTGACCATTTCCACCTGCAGCAAGCCCCCACCCAGGTCCGTGAGAAATATGCGCCTGCCCCCTGGGGCTCTGCGATCCACAGCTGAGGACACCAGAGGCTGACACCCCTCCAGAGAGAACCGGCACCACACCTTCTGAGCCTTGATATCCTGGAGGCGGTAGTGGCACTGCACCAGAATGGAGCCCCCCACGGGTGCCTGCAGCACCTCTGGGAGGCTGCCAACTGAGCCCTGACCTAGAGAAGGAAAGAAGGTGGGAATGTTGGGCAGGAGCTGGGGGCACCACCCAGCCCGCCCACTAGCCTAGGGACACTGGGACCTGGAGATGTGGGTTGGCATCCACAATAACACTAATAATTTTGGGGAGAGGTCTAACCCCTTCTGAACCTTACCTGCTAGTCCCAGGAGCAGCAGCAGGAGCAGGTTGAGGCCCATGGCTGGGCAAGGAGATGATGGCTCTGGAGCTTGCCTGGGCACTGACACAGCATTCCCTTGAGGACAGGAAGCATCTGCCTCAGACAGTCACATGGATTTCTCAGTGACCTGGCGTGGGAGGCAGGGACTGGTGGGCACCTCTAGGGGTGGGGTTAGGGAGCTCTTCTAAACCTTGGTTGGCTCAGTGCTCAGGAACTGAGGGTAGGGGCAGGCAAGACAAGCCTGGGGGCTGGGCCCAGCTAAGGGATGAGGTGGGAAGAGGATCGTGGCATTGGAGGAAAATAGAGAAAGATGGAAGATGATCTTCAGGGTCTTCCAGATACAGAATCTGAGCATGTAGAGCTGTAAAGGAGGAAGATAAAGTGCCCCTCACATGGCCTAAGACCGTTCTAATACTGAATTAAGAGTGCTTCCCACCACCTAAGCCTTCAGGAGATGGTCCTTCCTGCAGCACAGCCTCACAACAGGAGGGCACACCTCGATGGTGTGCCCTGGACTGAGTCTTTCTTCATTTACAGTCCTGGATACTCCAGACCCTTTCCATCTGAGTCCACATTCTTCAGTTCTGGAAAACAGATTATATCTTTGATAATTGTTTCTCCACTTTCTCTTTTGTCCTGCTCTGTTTTTCTGGAACTCTGTAATTAGTTGAATATAAAAATCTCATGTATTCATCTCACTTTCATCTTTTGTCTCTCATTTTCCACCTTCTTGTCCATTTTGTTCTGCCTTCTAGGAGATTTCTTTATCTTTTTATTTCATCCCTTATACTATTGTCTTTGAAAATTTTATTCTTTAATGATTTTAATTTATAAGACCTGACCTCTTATTCTCCAAGCATTTCTTATTTATACCATACTATTCTTATTTTTTGAATGCTCTACCTTCTCTGCTAGGAGGCAGTTCTCCATGAATATTTTCATATCTCTGCGTGGTCTGGGCCTTGGGAGCTAGGGTTGGCCAGGCCAGGGGCACCCTTCGTGGCAGGGCAGGCCAGGGGGGCCCTGGAGGAGTGTTTCTTTTTCTTCCTTCCTTCCTTCCTTCCTTCCTTCCTTCCTTCCTTCCTTCCTCCCCTCCCTCCGTCCCTCCTTCCTTCCTTCCTCCCCTCCCTCCGTCCCTCCTTCCTTCCTTCCTCCCCTCCCTCCGTCCCTCCTTCCTTCCTTCCTCCCCTCCCTCCGTCCCTCCTTCCTTCCTTCCTCCCCTCCCTCCGTCCCTCCTTCCTTCCTTCCTCCCCTCCCTCCGTCCCTCCTTCCTTCCTTCCTCCCCTCCCTCCGTCCCTCCTTCCTTCCTTCCTCCCCTCCCTCCGTCCCTCCTTCCTTCCTTCCTCCCCTCCCTCCGTCCCTCCTTCCTTCCTTCCTCCCCTCCCTCCGTCCCTCCTTCCTTCCTTCCTCCCCTCCCTCCGTCCCTCCTTCCTTCCTTCCTCCCCTCCCTCCGTCCCTCCTTCCTTCCTTCCTCCCCTCCCTCCGTCCCTCCTTCCTTCCTTCCTTTTTCCTTTTTTCTTTCTTTCTTTCTTTCTTTCTTTCTTTCTTTCTTTCTTTCTTTCTTTCTTTTTGTTTTTTCTTTCTTTCTTTCCCTTCCTCTTTTTTTTCTTTTTTGGGGACCCTGGGGAGGCCAGGCTAGGGGCAACCTATTGGCAGGTTAGGGCAGACCAGGCCACAGGGTCTCTTAGAAGCAGGCCAGGCTAGGCCACAGAACAACTAGGAGGGTTAATTTTTTGTTTGTTTCTTTGTTTCTTTCTCTTCTTCCTTCTTTCTTTCTTTCTTGGGGGCAGGACAGGCCTAGGGGGCCCTTAGTGGCAGGGCAAACCAGGCCAAACCAGGGGGTCTCTCAGAGGCAGGCCAGGCCAGACCAGGGGGGCCCTTGGAGGTTCTTTCTTTCTTTCTTTCTTTCTTTCTTTCTTTCTTTCTTTCTTTCTTTCTTTCTTTCTTTCTTTCTTTCTTTCTTTCTTTCTTTCTTTCTTTCTTTCTTTCTTTCTTTCTTTCTTTCTTTCTTTCTTTCTTTCCTTATTAGTCCATTTTGTGTTGATATAACAGAAATACCTGAGACTAGGTGATTTATAAGGAAAAGAGGTTTATTTGGCTTATGATTATGGGACAGCTGCATCTGGCATGGGCCTCAGGCTGCTTCTACTCAGGGCAGAAAAGTGGCAGGCAGCTGGCAGGTACAAGCAGACCACATGGTGAGAGGAAGCAAAGAGAGAGAGGAAGCAAGAGAGAGAGGGGAGGTGCCAGGGTCTTTTTAAGCAACGAGCTCTCGCGGGAACTAATAGAGCGAGAACTCACTCATTAATCCCCCCTCCCCCAGGGAGAGCATTAATCCATTCATGAGGGATCCACCCCCATGACTCAATCAGTTTCCAGCACTGCCATATTGGAGATCAAATTTCCACATGAGTTTTGGAGGGGACAACACATCCAAACTCCATCATGGGGTCCCTAGGAGAGACTGGGATGGGGCACCTTTAGTGACAGGACAGTCCAGGAAGGTCCTAGGGGCAGGCCATATCCGGGGTGCCCTTAGTGGCAGGCCAGAGTGGGGGGGGCTTAGCAATGTTTCATTTATACTTGGCCAGAAAATTTTGTTTTTCATTAAATTATCAAACTTATTCATGAAATGTGTATTTTATAATTATCCTTATTTTTGTAGTTTCTTCAGTCTACAGTTACATTTTTTCCCACTCCTACATTTGTGTGTTTTTATTTAAGTCAAGCTTATTTAATTAAAATAAACACTGAAAGTGAGTACAGGTTTGTGTTAGGTTTTTATTATTCAAATAAACAGCTTTCAGATTTATTAGTCTGTCAGTTCTGTCATTTTCCCCTCTCCTAATAAATTGATTTCATTTTTTTGTGTTTAGTATATCCATTCTTCTGTGAATATTAGTTTTATTATTATTTTCTTACCTTCTTATGATGAATAAGTAGTTTTAGAATATTTTGATATTTATTGTTTAATAATGACATATAAGGGTGTGAATTTACTTTAGAAAAGAAATTTGACTTTATCTGCTTTATTTTAGCAATTTGACTATGATGGACTTTAGTATGATTTTCTCCTCTTTTCTTTCTTATTTCCAGTTGGGGTTTGCCTATCTAATTGGGGTTCTTTAATCTGTGGATTGATGTATTATACCCATTTTGGAAAGTCCTCAGCAATTACACCTTCAGTGATGGCTTCTGCCCCCTTCTCTCTCCCCTCTCTGTCCCCTCTGAGTCCAATTAGACATACACAGTTGTAATGAGGCTCATCCACCTCTGGTTCTTTCCTCTTCCTCAGGGAAGGCCCTTCAGGGATTTGGATGGAAATTCTAGTAGGTCACTGGTCAACCATGAAAGGCTGTGGCAAATCCACTTGTGACCTTTGGAGGTTTCAGCTTGCTGCATCAGCACCCACGCCCTGCAGCTTTAAAATGTGGCAAAAATCTTGAGATCAATCAGCAACCCTGTCCTTCTGGGGAAACATAATCTCCCAAGCACGTTGAGATTCAGGAAGATTTTACTATGACTTGTAGGAAACCTTGGCCTGCCTCCTCAGTCTACTATGTTCATCTCCAGAACACACAGAATGTCTTGTAGAAAACACCAACCACATCGTGAGACAGGAGGTGCTCAGTTTCCCTGGGTCCAGGTTTCCAGACATGCATCTGGGTTTCCAGCCACTCCTCAAGGTCTCAGGCCCCTCTCCGAGGCCCTCCCCTACAGGAAATCTACTGTTACCCATTGGACCTATTTTCAGCACCAACATGGGGAAAATGAGACCA